CTATGCAGCCTAATTCGACTATTACTGGCGCGTATTCCACTCCCCCTCTGCCACCTTGCTACTATATTTCTCTTTCGATGTTCCGCTCATTATTTGTTTCCAGTTCGTGATACTTTCTGGCCACATTCACTAGCTCATTTATCCCAAAAGGAATTTTATCCATGCTTATATCCGTCATGGTTCAAATTCATTGGCTCTGGTGATTCAGCTGATCATTTTTACCATTTTTGACTTCCTCCAACAAGACTTGATCCTTTTAACCCCGAAAAGAACTATTGGGTTCATCTGTATCGATTTTGTTTTCCAGCCCGACTATAAACTTTACCACATCCTACTGCGTATATAATTGGGTTAGAGCTTCAAATCGCCGAAAGATTTTCGCTGTTCACACGCGTGATTGATATCACTCAATATATCATGTGCTCAAGACCAGCTATTGAATCTGTTTAATTCATACAAACACCAGGTGTCTTGTTGTTCATTACGATCCATTCGATCAGCAATCAAGTTATGGAAGCTGCGAGTGCGTACAGCGTATACATTTACAATTAAAATGAAAACTAGATGCCAGAACATCATAATGTATCGATCGTATTTTTATTTCATTTTATTATATAAATCGATGCATAGACACAAATTCAGTCTCCCAAGGGGATCTGTAGTATTTGAGCGACTGCAAAGAAGTTGCAGTCATTAGACACTGGAAGAAACTGAGATTTAAGACAACGTTGACATGCATCGTTCACACGAGAAGCCATATGATACCATATGTTACCACATACCGATTGATCATCATCACTGCCGCATTGTTTTTCACATCTAGTCATGTTCCACCTCCATCCTTTTCGAAATGCTACCCGGCGGTTCACTACCATCGGTTCGACTCAGTTTTCTGACCTTTGTCACCCATCTTGCATCAAGTGGCTACTTCGACGAGCATTGATTGGTATGTACTCCATCCAGGGACATAACTAATACCTGCTGGTACGAGTAATGTTTTCAGCATTGTAATTGGACTGTTGAGGTCCGAATCCAGCAACCTGCACTCAGCCTTAGTGTTGAACGGCTTCGCTGTTGCTCGACCTCGTGCCACGTCTATTTTATGGAGGTCTTATACAGTTTTGCAACTCAGAGCCCCAAAATGCCCGTTTTTCATTCCAATAAGTAAACCTTAACCATAGTTTCATCCATTCGACTGTTCACTAATGACTAATGGAAAATGTTTCTTTACCTCGAATTTCTAATCAAGAACCATATGTGTACCACCAATTTGTGCCTTATCACAGTTTAACCAATTCTGATCGTATAATAACTAGAACGCTGATTACTTGCGATTTTGCGATTTTTTTCTCGTTACTTTAACGGGCTTCATGGCCATTTTTGTTGCTGAAGAAATACGCCATCCAGAGTTCAGGTCTTCAGATATGTTTTCAAAACGTTTGTTAACACTACAGTTAAATACCTCGTTTCTTGATAAAAATCTACCTTGATCGTTACTTTCGAAGTGAACGTTTTATTATGGGCGATTTAACAAAGCTGAAGCTTATGCCCCATAGGATTTTTGCAGAATATTTTGAATAACTTCACCAAGAGAAAATAATAATAATAATAATGATATGCATGATCACCCACGGATGTCAACCGATCAAAACAGAGAGGCTCAGCAGTTTTCTGCACCTAAATGTTGGTCGGTACGGGAAATAATTTGGTCAGTTGCACTGTTAAGGTTGTTTTCGTTTGGCATCGGACTAATACGATTTTTGAAATAACTGATTTTCAACGGAGCTCTTATTACAAACCTACGTTGTTCTGTTATACATAGGGTGGCATCAAAGCCCAGTGCAAAAGTTAATAGTTTGCTAGATTAGGTCAATATTGTTTGATGATTTGAAGTATCCTGCTTTAGTTGAGGTTAACCTGACCTGGATCCGTTTCGCAGTGTCGAATATTCCCAGGGATTTCGGGGAACAAAGATTTCACCAAGTTTTTCAGCCGGGATTCGCTCGAGGATAGTGCGGTACATTCTACCGCACATTGCATAATTCTGTTTGTTTTTTATGCACATGCGGTCAAAGTTCCGAGCACTAAATCAGTTTAGACCACCAGTTGGATTGGGTGCGGTCTCTTATTGATTAGTTGCTGTTCTGCCTAAGGTTATGAAACCAAGACGCCGTGTCTTACGTATAAGAGACCCCAAGTCATTAATTACTAATTATTGACCTGCGTAGAGTCCACTAAGGTGATCTAGCAATTGGGGCCCAATCATGCTGTATGCGAATGTGAATGCATACATATTCTTCTGAGCAGGTGTGCTCTCGTGCATGTGGTGTGTGTTACTTGCAAATGTTATGAAACTGAGAATTCTCTTTCTCGTTCTGATTGAAGTTGTATGCTTGGTATTGTGTTAGCGGCACTGTTCACTGAATGCACTAATCTTCTGAATGTGTCAGGTCGCTGAGTGACTTGGCTGCATGCTGTGTGACAGTCACACTATAATACATATCACTTACATCGAATTAAGCGATTTCATTTGGTGGTGACAAAGAAAGTAATCATGCGGGAGCATGGATGCAGACATTTGAGAAAGGTAATGGACAGCTCCACGGTTGTGTTGTGCAATTTTCATATTTGCAGTTGAAACTGCATAGGGTTGCGATCGATGTTAGTCAAGCCGATGTGTGTGTGTTTGTATGTGCGGATGGGTGGGTAGATCGGTAAACCGGTGGGGCCAACCAATTGGGTTCGATCCAATGTTTGTGGCTGAGAGCCCCTGGGTCAATGTAAGCTAGTTTGCGTACTGTGTCTGTAATTTCGGCTCAAGGGGAACCAAATGTCTTGCATTCATTTGATCAAGAATTAATGTTGAAGTCCAGAATTCAGATTCAGCTATGCACTGTGTAATTTTCAGTCGTTCAGATATGTTTGGTCCGAACGGAACAGCATTGCTAGTGAAGCGAACTCGTCGTTTGTGCGGAATCAGTGTACAAAAGTATTATCAACTGTTTCAAAGAAGCGTCTCGCATTGGTTGGGAATAATGTTTGCTCCATGTTTGGGTTGCATAGCGTGATCAACTGCAACAATTGCATTGCCGAATCAGACTGGTTTGCGATGTGAAGGCCATTTTACTTCTATCCGTTTGTATGAAACCATGTATATTTTTCCTCTTGATTTGTGTCAGCATAGATTTCCTTTTCCTCGTCTGAATCTCGCGGATATGATAAATACTGGACAGGACAAACGATTGATATTGAGCTGTTCTCCATAGCTAGATGGATCCAATCAATGATACCATAGGTTCCTCTACCCGTCCCAATAACCATCTGGTGAAGAACGATAGACGCGGGTGTGATGTACTCCTTTTAGATGTGATAGATTGTTTCTGCTGGTTAAGTTCCGAGTAATGGAAAACTGAACTGTCAGCCATGCTGTCACATCAATTGTCAAGTTTGTGAGCGTGCTATGTACGCTTCATGACACGAAATGTTACCGAATTTGCTTAGTTTCGCATCTGCACACAGTAAGTAATTCAGCTTGAGAAACAGATCTTGATAAAGGTCCTGTCAGTGAAGAACGTTTTGTCAAAGAAGAGGTTGTCTCGAAATTCGGATTGATCCTCACAGATCACATTGTTGTAATCGGGATATGCATGAAACCAAATCGGCTAGACTTGAGCAGCAGTTGTGTGAGGATATGCCATGCTTATACGGTTGGATGCAAAATCAGTTTGACTGTATTCACTATTTCCTCTCAGCAAATCCAATCGATGGTTGGATCAGTTGTAGAACTACACGCAGCAGATGACTGAGAAGTAAAGTTATTATCAGTAACATAGCCCGTGGGCTTGAGCGCAAGAGCACATAGATACATCGATCGACGATCTTGTTCCCTCTTGACTGGAAAGCGAGATTAGTTATAATTAGAAGATTGATAGCCACTTTTCCTAGACGCAAAACTGGCGATACTTTCACGGGTTGATTTGCCGTTCCGTCGTAAATACGATTTGGGCCATGCGTCACGCAGTCATCTGCACGAAAGTAGTGCTGCATACGGTAAAGTTAAAAAATGTAGTAAGTGATTTAAAGTTTGTCGCTTGTTCGACAAAGGTGTTCTTTGTATTACTGTACACTGGTGAGCATTAAGCGATCGCCTATTGAGTCGGCAAGTTCTGTTGACTGCACGATTTGAGATCAACCTCTTCGTGCTCACTAAATGTTCATTTTGAAACTCGTGGTGCGCGAATTAGTTTAGACTTTATTAGTAACTCAAATTTGATATAGTCTGAGAAGCCATACAACACTGCAGTATCGATACACTGCATTCCCAGATTGGAGCGAACCTAACCCGAAGTGCTAAGCGAAAGGAAACTATCCTTATCAGGTTTCTCAGTGTTTACATGTGACACTACTTCTGCATCGTAAGGAGCTATAATTTTAAAAATTTTGTTCAAAAGGTCTTCATGAATACAACTGGGTGGTTTATCAGGCGTAGCATTGGGTACTTTATACATGGTGCTATAAAGTGTTTTCAGTAGAAAGGCTGTATATTGGATTTTGCCACTGATTGTTCAAGTATTCTGAATTTGAAAAGCTCAGGATATGACCGGTTGACGTTTACTGGCTTCTTCCATCACACAAAGCCTTTGCAAATGAACTACTGTAAGTAGATATGAAACTCTTCTGCGAGGATAAGCAGCTAAATTTGTAGAACACAAAATGTTTTAGTGCTTTACTACCCGTGGCTTTCGTTTGTACCATATTGATTAGACCTAATCGGATAGCTTTTTTTCTCAATGTCGAAAGCGTTTAGGGCCAAACTGTACTGAGTCAAATTGTCTCGTCCGGTTTAAGTTCGTGTACCCAAAAGCATCTGTGTTTGTCCAACAGTGCTTTTAGTACACCTGAATTTCTCTATTACTTTTGAGATCCATTGTCCAACTGCCTTGTTACTCACACTCCATAAACTGCCTCTTTGTATCCACTCACCCTCTGTTTTGCGTTGGAAGAGGTCTCTTTAAGCTGACATTGAAACTTTTGATTTCAACTTGCTTGCGGGTTCTGTGTATTCATAGTCACTTCGTTGATGTTTGGCTTACCACTGGAGGAGAACATGGTGTCATTTAGGGCTTTAACTTGGTTTACTCTTTTCCATACATTGCACTGGTTCCTTTTTAATTGTTTTTTTTGTCGGATTTGTCTAGGCTTTGAGTACACTGCCATCGATTACGAGCAATCCAACCCTGGATTTGGCACTTCATCAGGTTAATCAGCTGTTCCGGAATCCCTCGACAAAAACTGTAACCGGTTACAACCCGCTAGCTTTTATCTCAGATGAGGCTTCCACGAGTGTTGCTACACGTGTGTCAATGGTACGTTACTATTTCACCTACGCATTCAAGCAGGCATTTTGCTCTTCGTTTGACAGATTTCATTCACTCATGAGGAGGCTTTCTCTTGTAATAATCGATATGCCAAATTACTCTTTCGTTTTGCCTCCTTTCCTTGCCTTCTGTTTTCATCCGACTTGCACTGAACGCTGATTTGATCATGTCATCAGGAGCACTGCCAAGTTTGTTGCTCCCATTCGTCCTTGTAATACCCGGTGAAAGTATGATCAAGCGGATTTTTATGCTAGTTTCAGAACGCTAGCTCGTAAAAACGTTGTTTTGTATTTTGCGTTTATCTTAATTGTACATCAGCTGCTATGGGTCTCCGATACCTCACTTTCCGTGACCCAACATGTTGCTCTTTGAGTACACTCACCGCGTTCAGCTGGTCTGATGTGAAGTTGTTCCAAATCAGACAAGTTTCCGTACACACGCCAGTTATACGCATGGTGAACAATATCGAAACCTACGGCTATTTTCTACAAGCAAAGGAGAAATCCCGAGGAACACTACAATAATTGATTCCCAAAAGTTCGAACACATCCTGAGTGAAGATCAGTTGACATATTTGGATTTGACGAAATGCATTCAAATGTCTTCTTTTGATTTAGCGTTACGTCACTCCGCCATAACCCGCTGCCTTGAGTGACATCAGGTGGTGTGACTCAGTGTCGTAAGCAGTTTCAGTTTTTCAGCTTATACAACCATTAACCATGCACTTTCGTGTGGCGGTTTTCGTTGCCGTCTTTTGACTGCCATTTTGGGTGAAGAGTTACCAGAAGGATTGGAAATTTGAAAGTAGAGTCGAAGGGAAATTGAAGGATTTCAATAAACTAAGGTTGCAAAGAAATTAGGAAGATGCACAAGCGGTCTGGTTTACGACACTCAGTCGCATCACAGTGATCTCGAGTTCCCCGTCTAGAGAGCTCAACACAACCTACATGACCGAGTCTCCTGGTTAGGGTTTTCACAGCCTCGTTCCAGGTCTTATTTTAAGCACCCTTGGCTTTCTTCCATCCACTACCTGCCTCGGTAAACATCGCTCGCCGTGGCGATCTATTTTGTGGCATACGTAAAACATGCCCCAACCAACGTAATCTATAGAGGTCGACCACTTGCTCCAGTGGGCGACCACGAATACCTAAAACTCTACGCCTAACCGTAGCATTGCTCGTTCGGCTGCGCCACCAGATTCGTGCAATGCTGCGTAAACAGCGGTGTTCAAACACCGTCAGTCTATCCTTATATTGTTTTCTTAATGGCCAAATTTCTGCACCGTATAGCAGAACTGGCCAGTCTGCCGCAGCAGATACCCCACCCTTCACAGACAACGGAATCTCGGGGCGACGCCGCAGAGGTCTCAACTTGGTAAATGCCAATCGAGCCATCTTTACGCGAGTTGATACTTCATCTGTGATGCGTCCACCGGGTGAGGTATGGCTGCCCAAATCACAATTCTTCTACTTGCTCTATTACTTCCGAAGTTAGAGTGAGACTGTGCTGGACCAACCCAATCGTGTAGCAACATTTCACACTTTGAAGGTGGGAAACACCGGGCGGTGGTTTCCCGATGGTAACATCAAATTATCACCCCGGAGGACGTGTGTTCGAATCCCAGCACCACCGCCTAACTTTCCCCATTGTGGCTTGTATGGAAGCCCTTTGATTGGCCGCTTCCCCCCTTCCTGAAATTTTTATCGTTGTGTATTCAATTAAAGGAAGTAAAAATGAAAAAGAAAAAAGGAACATGGCCAGGCTGGCACTGGAAATCTCTAGAAAAGCTTGCAGTGGTGGTGGTGGCCAAGTGTTTAGTTAACCAACTAGTGACCCGGGTGTCCCGGGTTCAAACCGTTCCACCGCCCCCCCGTCTTCCCTATATTTGTATTTTCCCCAGGCAGCCTTTGTATGGCCGCAGCCCCCTTCCTGAAAGTTGACTGTACATTTGTATATTTAATAAATTGAAAAAAGGAAGTAAAAGGACATTTATTTTATTANTATTATTATTAGAACTTACCTGGATCTCCAATCATTAGTACAGTGTATTCTTCATACTTCAGATCAGACAATCTACCACCCGGAAGCACCTCAATGCTACTATCCTGTTACAAGGATAGGGCTCTTTCGATAATCAAATCTATAACAAAGTTAGAAAAAGAGAATGAGAGCACAACCTCGACGAACACCGCTTTTTGTGGCGAACCAGAGCTAAAAAGTACCGTAAGCTCGGCTTCGGCTATTGGTATAAAGAAATAGTATTATTGAAGAAACCCTTCGGGGAACTGCAGTGCAAGAGCTTGGAACGGTCGACTGAGTTGAAAGCCGCTTTCGGATCGAGGAAGACAGAGATGGTGGGTCTACGAAAAGAATATCGGTGCTCCAGAATTTGACGAAGGATGAAACTGCTCTCTATACAACCTCGACCAGGTCTAAAACTATCCTGATTCTCACGGGTGCACCCTTTACGTGCGATAGACAGTTGATGGAGTATAATGCCAGCGAGAAGTTTAGAGACGGTGTTGATTAAACTGATTCCTCTGTAGTTTTCACAAGAGGATCTAGCACTTTTCTTGTAAATCGGTACGATCACCGATTCACATCATTCAATGGAAACTTGCTCGTTCTTCTATATTGAGCCCAGGAGTCTCCTCAACTCCAAGACTAACGCGAAACCTCCCGCCCTAAAAGCTGACGGGAACAGCTCATCCGGGCCGTTAAACCTCCAGTTCAGATGGAAGACTGGCATCAACTGGGAGTATTTTCTCAGTCAAGGTGCATGGGATTGGTCCGATTTTGAAAGGGGCCAGTTGAACGAAGCCTCGAACTGTTCACCTAATCAATCATCGATGACGAAGCAGTGTCATCGGACTCCTTAATTCTCTCACCTACGTCCATTTTCCTGGGACTCCTATTTCTAATTAGACGGAAAAGAGTGCAACTATGAGTAATAGCCACAGCTTTCTTCATCTCTCTACACTTTCATATCTACTATTTCTCGCGGTCATTCCCCAGATTCTTGATGAGCGGGCGTTTAAGGGATTTGTGCGCTGTGTTATATGTGCCATCAGAAGGCAGGGTTCTGCTGGCGTCCAGCAGGGCACCCGAGTTCCATCGTTTGTACTTTGAGCCATCGCCAGAGTTTGCCGTATTTTTAGTGGATAATAACATCGCTACCTTGATTTGCTTAAAGAGTTCATTGNGGCGATCGGAGAGCTCCACTTCGAGGGCTAATGTGCAACAGTCACTGAAATTATATCATGGGTATCCGTCTTCAGTGTCTTTTTTACGGCCAGGCGTAAGGAGAATTGAGTTCGTAACGAAGCGTGACTGCCTTTCCCAGATGTTGACCGGTGAGAGCGACTGTTTTGCCTTCTCCACTGGTATCTAATAGCGATGTGATCGATTTGAATCCATAAATGTGAGCAGGTCGTCAGTTCTCGTGAGCAGTAATTGACTGTTGTGCATTCATCCCCTCTTGACGTACACGTGATTTGACAGCATTCTGCTCCTTGTTTATCTCTCGATCAATCGTTTAATGTGACTCATTTCCGCATTGATCGACCAAGTACGTAGCTGGTAAACGATAATGGACTTCATCGTGCGGCAACATTGTATAATGTATACCGAACTAAATTTATCTTTGAGTAACTCATAGATTTTATATAATTTACGCCTAGTAATCATGCGAATTAATTGTGATGTTATCTCACTGTTATCAACTCCCGTATCGTCTGGTTCAAAGGACAAATTCACTGATAGTTCACTGCATGCGTGTAAATGAATGAAAACTGGTGCCACGTTCACCCCAGTTCGCACGCATCTTACATGCTCCTGCAGTCTTTCGTCATACTCACTGTCGCAAATCGTCCACTCTCATTCTTATCAGAGCAGGAAAGGGTATCGTCCAATTTTCTTTGACCTGCTGGATAGGCCCGTTCAGTCCTCTTAAAATGCACTCTGGCGTGCTCACTGAACTCCAACTAAGAGAACGTAAACCACCAAACCATCTTGTTTTTTCAATGCCTTGTCGATAGGTAATTATAGCCTCGTCTATTCTCTGGCACACACATCCTTGGAAACGCACTTTCGAAGGGTTTTTTGGATGATCGAAATGAATTTCCTCGGTACATTCGAAGTCTTTTTATGTATATCTATATCGTCCTCCATTTTTGATTCATATCTGCTATAAAACTAATACATCTTGTGTACATTTCATCTCTGTCTTCTTTAGGTTCTTTTCTTGCTCACCAAAAACATTTTGGGTGGCTTGTCAGAATATACTCGCACACTTCGTCTCTATCCACGTCCAGTAGTAGCATTTCAGTTTGAACGTTTCATGCGTTCTCGACCTCGACCATGTCTGTTTACCAGCATGTTAGCCAAAACACAAGTGAGTCTAGCCCAATCGGAACTAATTGTTTCTCCTAAATCTGCATTTCACCCACCACACTTCTATGCATTCATTCGGGCTTCCATCACCTGTTCGGAGCATCTGAGTTTGCTTTTGTAATGAACTTCCAGTAATTAAATTCACACCTCTGTACGGGCTGCTATCATCGATGACCAGATTTGACCCATCTGTTCACGACTGTTCAATTTCGTGTTCATATATTTGGGTCAATAAATTCACTTCTGATTGTTAGAATAAAGGAGTCATGTGACTTTTGAGATCTATCGATTTTCGAAATACTAGTTATATATCTGACCCTTGGTGTGCCACTGAACGCATGAGATCAATGGCAGTGAGTAGACTACGTGTTAGCTTGTGTAACTGGCTTTTCTCCACTGTGCACTAGCTGTTTTGTCTGTTGCACGATCATGTTTGTATCACCCCTCGGATCTGTGCATATGTGACTGTATTTATTGCTTTATCACAGGTTATCACTTAGTTTAAGTTTATATTAAAGCCAATTGCGCGTTCATTCTTTTTGACCGTCTGTTGGCAACAATCAGTACCATTACGCGTATTGCCATCATTACGATCAATAGCAGTCCATTTTCTTGTGTCCCTAACTGAACGTGGCGGTCAGTCGAATACCAGTGCTCATATTTGGCACACCTGTACTGAAGGTTTTCTGTGCCTCCGCTGACTATTTTAGCAACACGAAACGGGACACGTCCTCCGCGAGACTTTGCTTTTGCTTTTATCATCGCATGTTTTTGTATACCAAGATCAAATAGAGTGTTTTTTGTCTGTACGAGAGCACGGTTGTATGTCTGTGTACTTTTATATGTGCATGTGGATGCGTGTGACAACAGACTGACTACTCTCGAGACTTGTGTGTTATACTTAGAAGTTGCCTCAGTGACCAACACGCCCCCGCAAGTGAGCCGTACTGCTCCGTTACGAAATGCTATCGCGCACATTTACCGTGTTTTACATTTACGAAACTAATGCATGTGGGCGTGTGACCTGACAAAGATAACGTAGTCCTTTCCTAAAAATAACTGCTTTAAATGACAAGCAGGTGGAATGCACGTGAATGCGCGCCCTAACCGTCATTCATTACTTCCGTTGCCAGGTTACATGACGCAATAAGCAAACTTTCAGGGTCCTGAATCTACTGATTGTTTTTAAACACGTAAACTTCATCCTTTTAATTTACCTGTTGCTAATTGTTGAGCTTGATTGTTACTGGATAAATCAGTTGATAACTCTCCCAGTTGTTAACATTGATCATAGGTTATCTTAGCGTGTCACTAGATAAGTTGCCACGGTGAGCGATGTTTGCCGAGACAGGTAGTGAGTGGAAGAAAGCCAAGGGTGTTCAAACTAAAACCTGGCATGAGGGTATGAAATCCCTAACCAGGAGTCCAGGTCCCCTTAGACTCCCTGGATGGGGATCTCGGGATGATCGTACCCGATGGTCAAAGACACTGAGTGATATGCTGAGTGTCGTAAACGGTTCATCTTGTCAATTTCTCTGCGGAATTAGTTCACTGAAATTCTAACTTTTCTCTTTGATCCTACTTTCAACCTTTCCTGTTTTTCTTCTAATGTTCGTCCAAATGGGCAGTCAAAAGATAACAACCAAAACCGGCGCACGATAGTGCATGGTTAATGGTTGTGCAAACTGGAAAAAAATTATCTTAGCGAAGTGTATTACGTCTCAACGAAACAGTGTAGAATGTACTGTAAATCGTGTGTTTAATGGTGGGGTAGTTCGTGCCTAATAATGGTGGTTAAGTGGCATAAGTTTCACTGGGGTACTTTGGACCCGGAGGTTCGAATCCTTTCACCGACAATTTGGTTATCATTGAACTCTATACTACGCCTATTCCAGTGAGGCCTTGTGTGGTTCACCATTCAAAGTCACAGAGTTTTGGTTTCCAGTTATCAATAATGAACAGTAGGTGCTCGTTCATCATATAGTGCTATAAAATAGAAAGCGTATTTTTATATCTGTTTCTGTACGATGATGATGATAGTTGTTCACCATAAAGTACAATAAGTGTGAAATAATTTTATTTTTACAGTGCACCTTTGCGTGCCAGATTCCAAAGGTTGCAGTTCAGATATGTTTAGCTAGAATTCACTTCACTCGAGGTGTTCAATAGTTTAAATTCCATCACTAGTCAATTTAGGCCCTTGGTAAATTATAAAAGCAATTGGATGCTCTAATTTCCTCGTAAACATTGTCATACAATTTTTCTCATTCAGGCTGTCGAGTTCTTCGCCGAATATAGCCTATGTTCCCAGAATGAAGCGTTTCAACGAATCGAAGCTGGCGATTACACCCCAGAGTTGATTGGAGATAAAGCGGAATGGTTCAGCAGTTTACTGCAGGCAGTTTATTTTGACGTGTGGCCTGATACGGTTGTTGGTTCACCGTCTCCTTGCAATCAGTCGAATACATACCCCGGCAGTCCGCTCCTCTACGCGCTTGTAGCCGCCCGTTTGCAATATAATAGTCAGTTTATCAACTTCGATGATCCGGATGCTAGTGGCCTGTCTGTGAGCGATCTCAGGTCGGACGGGATGCGGGATGATTTGTCCGACTATCCAACAGGTGGGCAGCTTAGAGTCTTTCATATGATTTACCTACCCTATACCTCTTGCCTTTTTTCTCATTTCCAATGTCTATGTAGAAATTTACTTACGTCGGGAATGCTTGTTCAGATCAGTTCAGTTTACTGCTTGCATCAGAAAGAAAATAATACTCGTAGTAGCTGTTAGATTTTTTCCCAATGGAACAGTCTATTGAGTCTGGAATCCGCCCCAGAATAACGCCCTCGGATTTATCATTCAACTCCTTGATGGATTTCTGGGACTTGGCTCTATTAAAGCTGACCATATTGGTGCTTTATGATTCCTATTTCCTCCGGAGTGTCTACCTTATACCCTATTTTTTCTATGATGTATCGCTTCTGTTACGCTTATCCTGAAGGTCGGTCAACCAAAACTTAGTCGCCTTTCATGCGCGTCTGCCACTCAGAGCTTTTAAAAGCTGCTCTTGGTCCAGTTAAAACTCCACTTGCGTATCCCTAACCATTTTTGGTCCTCCCTCCGCCCTTGCTTTTTTGTCCACTGACTATTTGTATCGCAATATATAAGTTGAAGAAAATTTTATGCATGAGGAGACATTATCCAATGGCAACCGTTAAATATTTTCCTTTTATGTTCTTCCCTTGCTGGATAACAAGAAAAACAAATTTAGGCTTTGTTTCCTGGACTGCAATGTCTCCTTTGATAGTCTCATATATTATATATTTAGCACCAGCTTGCGGACAAGCATGGTGCCAACACCACAATAATAATATCGAAAACAATAACAGGAGATGGGTAGATTGGAAAACAGTACAGAGTGAAAAAAGGCGAAACCGTTAACATTGAATATTGTGAATGACTGGGAGAACAATTTTTTGTGTTTCATCGAATACTTTTTATATTTTTTGTTAATTATTTTTTTAATGGGGCACGGGACTTCAATCGTACGGCATTCGCGCCACTGACATCTATTCTGGGCCATATCTCTCAGCGTCTCTAACCAACGACTCCTCATCCCTTGGGCCCCAACCTGAAAGGTGGGGTGCATCAACCAAATCCAAAGCTGAAGCCAGCTTCTTCATGCCTCCAGCTCATGTCATGGTCTGACCGCCGCGACGCTTCTTCCAGCCTTGCCCGGCACGTGCAAAGAGAGCACGGTGAGGTAGTCAATGGCAGGCATACGCAATACGTAACCAGGCGATCGGAGACGGTGTAGAGCGATTACTTCTGTTAGAGAACGACTATCCACACCCAACACACGACGAACCTCGTCATTACTCACCCGATGTTCACAACAGATAAGAGCAATGCTTCGAAGACATCGGTGATCGAATACAGAATGTCGATCAACATCCTCAACGCGGAGAGGCTAGGTCTCGCAACCGTAAAGTAGAACGCTATGAACCGCGGCGATGTACAGCCTTTCCCGAAGGGACAGTCGGATGTCATGGCGGCGACACATGTGTCGCAGGTTGGCGAAAGCTGCTCTAGCCTTTGCTATTCGTGATGTGATCTCCTCCCCAACACCCCACCAGCTGCGATGAAGCTCCCGAGGTACTTAAAACTCTCAACTACTTCCAGCCGATCACCACAGATGGTGAATGCAGGCACAGGTTCCTACCAGCACTTCGCACTTGGAAGGTGCCCATCACATACTGTTTCTGAATACCTCAATCGCCAAGCGGTTCAGAGCGTGTTGGACTGCCTGTGTGTTGCCACCCAGCAAGGCGATGTCATCAAAATATTCTGAACCAAAAACCCTGTTCCCTGGGAGGAGTTTGACTCCACCGTTTGCTAGACCGGACAAAGCATTCTGTAGAACATCCTCTATGACAAAGTTGAAAAGGAATGGGGATATAAGGCAACCTTGTCAAACTCCACTGGAGACGGCAAATGGTGGCGAAAGCTGGCCATAGGCCCTAACCCTACCTGAGGTATGACGCCACAACCTTTTGAGGATCGATCCATACTTCTCGGATAATCCATTCCTCAACAAACAGTTCCATAATGCGGTCCTATCGACAGAGTCGAAGGCCACGCGGATGTCCAAGAATACGATGATCGTTGGTCTTTGACAGGCTTGACGGTGCTCTAGCAGCTTTCGTAGGGTGAAGATCGATCGATGCATCCACGACCGGCGCGAAACCCAGCCTGCTCCTCACGGGTCTACTCCTCACGCGTAGTGTACAATCGGCTTAGCATGACGGACACCAAAAGCTTTGACGCTATTTGGATGAGGCTTATACCTCTATGATGGGCGCAATCAATGCGCGGGCCCTTTTTGAAGATGTGGACAACAATCGATTCCGTCCATGAGGAGGGGACCTGTTAAACTTTCCAAACTTTAGAGAATAAAACTTGTAGTTTTCTAGCAAGCTTTATTCTACCATCTTTAAATAGAGCAGGGGGTAGGCCATTGGAGCTCTGACGCCTTGTGACATCCCAAGGCTTGGATCTCCTCACGGGTTTCCGCCTCAGAAGGTGAGTCTGTTCAGACAGACCTCATTCTCGAGCGCCGCCGCTGATCGTCCGTGACCGCTTTTTCGCGGGGCCTAAACCCACCTTATTCACGGTTAGCCATGAGATGACGGCCATTACCCTATTCGCGACCTGGGGACGCGCTCGGTAGCATACAGCTCTGCTCTCCCGAGANNNCCAATTCTTCCTCCCCCTTTTCCAGGTATTGATCTATCCGTGATTCGTTCATTTTCTGATTATTGCACTGGTCGACAAATCTTTACGCGTTATCATTGACAGTTATTCGTAAGAAGTTCCGATTGCCATTAAAGCCATCCGAGGTTCACGAGTTCCTATAGCACCATTGATACCCATCGTTCTATTTTCTGTATGTCTTCATACAGCCCCTGACCGTACGCAATCCTTTTCCTGAATGTTATATATCCAATAAAAAGAGCAAGAACGTACACGAGTTTTATCTGTTTTTCAGTTGCCAACTATCTTCTCGTAAAACGTTCCAACCCAGCTTCCTTGAAGAAGCTATCTTTCTATCCCTTCTCTTTTCCTCCTATTTATCTTCCATGTCACTCTCCGTTTGTACCACCGTTGGTCTTAGACTCTCGTGTCTCATTGTTCGATATCGACATTAATCCTTTGCTCATTAACAATGTGATTTTTACCCGTCTTATTTGTTTTTATTACACATTTGTGTGATGAGCAGCAGCCGGGTGACCCCATAGTCACGAAGACCTCATGTCCGATGATGGGAACGGGTAACGTCAGCTCCGGGACTGGGAGTGGCGAACCACGTAAGACCCAGCTAGCTTAGGTGTGGTCTTGAACCGGACGGCTGCAAAACTATCTACTAACAAAGTTCAGTGGTGGTGGCCGGACTCGAACCACAGGTTCCACAGCATGCCGGTGACAGCAACTAAACCGCTGCGCAAGCTCAATTTCCCTAAGCTGGTAGACAGCTTTGTTGCCGTTCGGNTTCGGTTCAATATCAGGCCTGACCTATCGGAGCCCTATGTGGTTCGCTACTCCAAGTCTCGAGCCATAGGTTGCCGGTCTCCATCACTTGACAGCAGATCCTCGTGACTATTGGGTTCACCCCGTCCGCTGTTCATCACACTAAAGTGTGTAATAACAAAAGTTGCAGTACGGTATTGTGCAGGTTCGCGTGTCGCCCAATGTTCAGTACTTGCCTCTGAAGTTTTCCGGGATGCAGTAATCTACTGTCTTCTCTATTCAAACAATATCGTTGTGATCATTAAATGGAATTCTCCCTTGATATTTTGATTGATCATAATCGACTAGGTTGCTCTTTTGTCGAAGTGTTCTAATACAGCACTGAACCGTAAATTTACGCGCGCACGCACACATACCATCCTTGAAAGTCAGATGCTGATCTTTTTATATTGTAATTCAAGTGCATTCTTTCCCAGCAGATATCATCAAGCATCACTTATAAATGCTGATTTGTGTGTCATACACATATATATTTTATCTGTGGTATTTCCCATGTGCTTGTCGTTCACAGTAAAAGCTTATTGTAAATATTTGAAGTTCTCACACGCAATCCATTCTCTTCATATTGATTAGTAATAATGCGTCACTACTGTTTCACTTGATGCTGCGCGTCGAATACCAAAGTGTTTCGTTCTGGTTGTATACCACACCTGTCCAGCTTCTTAGTCAATCCCGAATGGGTTAACTTTGGAGCTATACAAATTCTATCATGATTATCCAACCTTATAAATGGTATGACACTTTGTTAATTGCATAGTTCGAGTCACATCATGCATGTGCTTCTTCTCGGTACCTAAAGACTTGGGTTTTCTTGGCACTCACTCTGGAACCAAAATGTTCTTGTGGTAGCCACGCTATATAAGTCATGTGGTATTTGAAGAATTCAGCTCCCGATACGTTCAACGCTCACTTCACTCACTGGTCATCTAATGCTCTCATGTTCTACAAGGTGAAAGTTAATCAGTTTTAAAGTCCATATAAATGAAAATAAGTTGTTCTATTATCCGTGGTAATTGTGTTCATAGAGTGACTGTAAGCTACCAGGAGTTCGTCCTCACATTTTTGAGAACTGCAGTTTCGGTTTCTACAACCATCAACCATACACTTTCGTGCGAGATTCAAATGGATGATTTGTGCTATTTGTATATTTGCTGCACCAATTAAGCGGTTATATAGATTGTGCCACTGATCACACAGTGCGAGTTTCCCCGGGTAAAGTGAGCCCCTTCCGCAGGGATTCACAGTGACTACGCAGCGAGTTTGAGAATACTTTCACTCACCAATCACAGTTATGTATCTAGCGCTTGTAAAATGTTCATTTTCCCTCTTTCGCGAGTATGCTTCGTGCACATTGTTTATCGCGATCACGATCAAGTATGTCAATCGTGCCACTTCAATGTGGCTGGATTATCTCCTCGCTCTCTTGTAGCTCATCTAATTCATTTCTCAGTCGCCGTAAAACATACTATATTTAGTCACTTAATGGTGAACCGAAACGAAGCTAGGCAGATTATTTTTTTCGAAAATAAATAGTTATACTTTTCGGCTTTCAGCTATGGGCTCTCTGCATCAGTGTCATACTATTCAATTAACATGTCTAACTTTTTACTCAATTTCTGCCACCCTAAGCAACTGCGTGGACGTCCTCGTTGCTTTCATTGTGAATACTTTCATTGTCTTGCTTGGTTTTACTGGGCTAATAGGTTTAGAAATAATAATACTCGCTATCATTAGATGAAGAATGCGGAATAATCGAGCTAGTGCGAACGTCTAAATTAAGGCAAGAACGACTTAAAAATAGAGCAGAATCATACAGTCTTTGCAAGTCTTATCTATTGCAGTCTCTAGTCTTACATTCGTTTGCTTTTCAAGTTGAATTACTGATAGACAGAAACTAAAGCAGGGCACTAAAGTGCAAATTGAATGATCCTATAGAGTAAGGGTAGTACCGGGGCAAACACGTGAATCCTCATCCTCTACTTATTTATCCAGTGGGCGGTTAATTCCGTCTATTCCGGTCACGTGCTATTCAGGCCACACAATCCATAAACTCTATTTCTCTAATATGAACCCAACTAACTTGGTTTACAAAACGTTTTTTGGATTCATTAGTTTCATCGTAAAACTTTCAATCTATAGCCTTTTACAACTATTCTATCTCCTCTGCTTGATCTTCTTGCAAGTTTGAGCTTCGCATTCAATGTTTCACAACGTTCAGTTCATGTAATAAAGCATACACTCGAGTAACTCATCTGTGGTGCATCTCCCCCCATCTACATCTGACTCTCAATGAAAACAACACTTGAAGACATTTTTCTTGGAAACTGTAGTCAGCTTTGGTTTTAGCTAATTAATCTAGTGATAACAAATACGCTTTGAGAACAACAACTGTGTCGAGAACAAGCCTGTTTTCAGCTATTTGTAGTCGTACCAATACATTGGATATTATATTATCATAAAGTATGTAGGGCTAAACACAAAAATATTCCGGTCCTAAT